AGACGTCCTGTTACATATACACTCCGCCCTTTCATCAAGCCATACGGCTCTCGGCTTTTGTCAGGAAGTTAATATATATACCGACTCTGGAAGGTCTTTTCACTGATGTTAATCAAAACTTCGTCAAAGTGTCAAAGACTTGCTCATGTAATTAATTTTCCGATTTCGTTTACCACCTCGTTCAGGGGAGAAGCTTTTGCATATTGCATAAATATTGCACGGAATGGGATCTCTGATTGGAGACTAAGATTAGCTACGCTGCTTATATGGGATTATTGGGTTTTATACAATGGGTAACTCATATTTTCTTTCATAATTTCTCATAAAAGGTTTTCGTTACGAGAGTGTATGCTGGAGCCGTGTTGTATGGCCATCGAGGAGATTATCCCATAGATTATATACGGTATTATCGAACCATGAATGCCATTTCCGTCGGGTTCCTGAAAGTATTTATATTATCTGCAAGACTGATTGTTTACTGTTTATATCGAATATCTACTGCTGTTTACTTGTAGGGTCTTATTGAATGGAGATTTGAAGTCAATGTACCGATATCGTATTAACTTGGATTGACATTTTCGATATTTCCATGGCAGTATAGTATTTTCATGAAAGGCTTGAGTGTGTGAGTACCCAAGTTGGTGATATATTTAGTAAGTGAACACGTGTTGGTTGTTAATACGTGAATGTGCGTCAGTGACCAGACGAATAAATAAAGGGATTAATGAATTGCGCGTGCGTGTTTGCGAGTGTTTTTGTGTTTGTGGGAGTCTGTTTTTGCGTACGTGCGTGTGTACCTGTGTGTGTTGGTGGCCTTGTGCAGCATGGCGCTCTGCATGGTGGCAACAGAATATGGAGTGGAGACATGCATGCTAAGGAGTGAGTGAGTTTAGTTTTACACCGCACTCAGCAATATTCCAGCTATATGGCGGCGGTCTGTAAATAATCGAATCTGGACCAGACAACCCACTGATCAACAGCATGAGCATCGATCTGAACATTTGGGAACTAATGACATGTGTCAACCAAGCCAGCGAGCCTGACCACCTGATCCCGTTAGTCGCCTCTTACGACAAGCATGGGTTACTGAATGTTCATTCTAACCGGGACCTTCACGGGTGCATGCTAAGGACCAATTCTGAATCGGAATATTCCTTTCGGAAATGATGTCTCTATCCTTATTACTTTTAAACGTAGCTTGTTTCTTTCGGAAGAGCTTAACATCAACAATCAAGGTTGGTTGGTTTGTTGTTCAACGCCGCACTAGGCGACATTGCAGCTATGAGGTGGCGGTCTGTAAATAATCGGGTCTGGACCAGACAATCCAGTGATCAATAGCATGAGTATCGGTCTACGCAATTGGAATACAGTGGCATGTGTCAACCAAGTCAGCGAGCCTGAACACCCTATCCCGTTAGTCCCCTTTTACGACAAGCATAGGTTGCTGAAGATCAATTCTAACCTGGCTCTTCACCGCTAAAGAATCATGAATTACGAGAGTATCTTAAATCTACATTCAGCTAAAGCGCAAAATCGGAAATCCACTCAACGGAGACTGTAAAAAGGTGTCGTCCTCAGTATTAATATTGATCTGTGTGTGTAAGCGTGTGTCCACGTTTGCCGTGCGTGTGCGCGTGCGCGTGCGCGTACCTACGTGTGCGTGCGTGCGTGCATGCATATGCATGCATGCGTGTCTTTGCGCGTGTATGTGTAGCTGGGAGGCTTTGGTACCAGACGCTTCAGGCGGTACTGACCTATCGCTGATACGCCTGACGCGGTTTGCACCACTATTGACGTCCGCGTAAAACTTGTATATATTTTACTACCGCTTCTTAACTAGCACCACAGAGTGCCTGATTCATTCGGGTCAACTCGGCTTATTCCGCCAGGATCTTAACATCTCGGCCAGTTAGTCTGTCGTACAGACCCTGAAGCAAATATACCCAAGAAAGCCCACGCAAGTCTAGAAAATGTGGCAAGTCTAGATTTCCTCAGCTTCAGAAAATGAAGAAAGTCTCAGGGCTCCTTTACATTATATATATATATTTTTTACTATGAACTTTTTTTCAGTAAAATATGTTCATTTCAGAGACTAGTTGTTAGTCTACTCGGCCAGTGTACGAGTTGGTATATGTTTTCACTGTAATCTACGTTACATCAGATCTCTCAACTAGTGTTCGCAAAACATGACTTTTCTTATGAAGTGTTTCATTGACATCAAGAAAATGGTATGTGGTAACACATACATGTATACAGATAGACTGACTGACTGACTGACTGAGTTTGGTTTTACGCCAAACATTGTACCCATGTGGGGATTCGAGCCCGGGTCTTCGGCGTGACGAGCCAACGCTTTAACCACTAGGCTACCCCACCGCCCCTGTATACAGATAGAGTTCGCGACAGTTGTTGTATCACGTGATAGTCACGTGCACGAAATCAGTTTCTGTGTGAATTCCTCCATGTGCTGGCCTATGGGATCGGAACACGATCGTGCACGTGGTAGAACCACCTCGTCATTTGTGTCATCATCGTTCACACACATCACCAACAGAGAGGAGCATGCATGCTGATGTATCTTGTTAAGCAACAAGTGAAAGACTGTTGAGACTCCCGTGATGCGTACGTAAAATATGACACGTGATTGCCCTTGAAGCCTGTGATTTCAAGCAGGGGGGATTTCAGAAAAAGTAACGGTCAACAATTATAAATAATTGTTCCACACAAAAAGCGCTTTTCATTTTTCCTTCATGGCAAACAACCACAGAGCTGGAAAATGCTACGACAAACCACCAATTCCTACAGGTACATTGGTACACGCTGACACATTGGGCTACACGCTGACACATTGGTACACGCTGACACAAAGGGCTGCAAGATGTTTTGGCATCCACCTGATCAGTAGATGCTTCAGTTACGTTTATATACGAGAGGCTATCAAAAGGTGTTGAGCCTAAAATACTTCTGATATGTGCATGATAAAAATAACTGTATGCTATTGAATGTATTGGTTTACAATGTATTACAATGTATATCATTCACTTAAACGTGATATTGGTATGCACATGTCGCTAGTTTCCGACCACGTGACATCTAATCACATGTTCCAGTGCGGTAGAGAGGATCTTGAAGATGACCCTCGTCTTGGTTGTCCAACAACTAGCACCAGCCCGGAAAACACTGACAAGGTGCATACGCTGGTAATGAACAACTGTCAAATCTCTATCCATGAGTTGAGAAGTGGCATCTCATTGCATAAGATGGGTCCCCAGAATGTTCACCAACGAAATGAAGCTCACGAGCGTCACCATAAGTAATGCCATGAGAACAAGATATAATGAGTGAGTGAGTGAGTTTAGTTTTTCGCCGCACTCAGCAATATTCCAGCTATATGGCGGCGGTCTGTAAATAATCGAGCCTGGACCAGACAATCCAGTGATCAACAGCATGAGCATCGATCAGCGCAATTGGGAACCGATGACATGTGTCAACAAAGTCAGCGAGCCTGACCACCCGATCCCGTTAGTCGCATCTTACGAGCATGCATAGTCGCCTTTTATGACAAGAATGGGTTGCTGAAGACCTATTCTACCCCGGATCTTCACGGGTCAGAACAAGATATAAACAAAAACCAGATTATGTTCATTTTGGGTTCGTTACTTGTGATGAAACGTGGATTCATCACTATTCCTCTGAGAGCAAACAGGAATCCATGGAATGGAAACACGCCAAGTCTCCTCCTACCAAGAGGTTCAAGTCGTCCATATCGAAGGTTATGGCCACCAAGGCGTCATCCACGTAGATTACCTTCCACAAGGAACTTCCCTGAATATTATGGTACCCTACTGAAGAAAATGAAACAGTCCATCAAGGAGAAGCGCCGTGGCAAACTAGTGAAGTGTTTCGTATTGCACTGGCCACTGTTGAAGAACGTATATATGTTAAATCCTACCTCACCCACCCTATTTTCCAGACCTGGCAGCAAGTGACTACCGCCTGATTCCTAATCTGAAGAAGCACCTGCGTGGTAGGAGATTCGAGGATGATCATTTACTCACTACAACTGTGGGCACGTGGCTACAGGGCCAGGAAAATGACTTCTATAGACAAGGCGTAAATGCCTGGCAGACAAGATGGACCAAGTGCATCGACTTATAAGGCGATTATGTTGAGAAATAAATGGGATTGCATCGCTGTTCTACATCTAAATATTTTAGGCTCAAAACGTTTTGATAGCCCCTCGTATGTCAGGAGAAAGTGGTGTTTGAATAACGTCTACATATCGTTAACGCAAATTGGTAGCGTTTTAGGGAAAGGCCGCCTTCATATTTTCCCAGTTTGTGAACTTCGGATAAGAATAATTCAAATAAGAGTGATAAAACTCATATACGATTCCGAAAATAGCCTACGTGCTTGTTTATCAATCGCTATGAAATAGTGATGATACCAGGTGTTTGCAAAGTGGCGAATTATCTTACAAACACACGCAAAGGTAAGTCAAATATACTTGTCATGAGATAACCGATAATTACTTAAGGAAGGGAGCAGTTGATAAGATTTTATTCACATGATGCACCGTGACCAATTTTACATCCTTCTGTTGATAACCGGACCATGTGCGTAAAAAATACGTTTGATGTTGATAAAACGCATGTTTGAAAAATCACGCAAATCAAATCCCTATCAGTGAACACTGAATGCTGATATGTGGTTTTTTATTCAGCTGAATGTTGATATGTGGCTGTAATAAAATATATAAAGTCTATGGAAATATTTATGTTTCAGTGGAAAGGACGGTTGTTTGTCTGTTTATAGAAGACAGAATTAAGCAATGTTCCAGAACTTTGATGGCAGTCTGTACAAAATCGAGTTTGGAGAATGCAAACCGATGATTGATATTGACTACATGATTAAATTGTAGTCCATTGACACCAGGACCAACAGCTGTACATAGAACGTATGCAATGTGCACGATATTCTAAATATTAAAATGAGTCGACTGATAATTACACTCTAATGTATGTTTTATGCAGGTGTCATTTCGTCAGAAGATATTCAATTACAAGCATCAACATGAACAAGATTTGGATATTCATTTGCAAAATATTGTGCAGACCATCGGCTCTAGCCCTCTTCTGGGGCATCCGTATGAGTCTTTGTGCTGACAATCAGTGGGAACTTCACCTGTGTTTTGTCAATGTCAGATGTTGAGTAAGCCGACCCAACTCTCTCGAGTTCCCGTGAAGATGAAACACGCGATTTAACTGTGTCACGTGGTGTTGCAACAGGTGACACAGATCGTTGAGAAGGCACGAGACAAATGACGTCAGGGCTTTGAGCAATGTCGTCAGTTCTGACTGGATTCAGCGTTTGGACATGCGGTATAGCGGGGTGCTTCCGGTTACCGCTGAAGTACTTCCGCTGTTGAAGAACCATTTGCCCTTTCCGACGACTCTGCTGACCCGAGAGCTGGGGAAGTCCGTCTGTGCCGCCATTCAACGCCATCCTCGACGTCTGTACGTCTTCAACCTGACCGGTATCAATTCTAACCGTGGCGGAATCTTGGGTAACAGTTCGAGGAGTACGTCTAGACTGATCACGTGCACAACCGGATGTTGATCTGTGAAAGGAACGTAACTCTTCAGTACTGCCATCTACTTCGGATTTGGCAGGGGACGTAACTGACGGTTCGCTACTAACTTTCATTTCCCGTGAGTAGGTCAGTATTTGACTTGCCGGTGTCCTTGACCCCATCGACGTGGAAGCACGGTGCGGAGCAGTTGTGTTGGTGCTCCAAGCCTGTAACAAGGCTCGTTCCCCAGGTGTCGAGAATGTCTTGGACCACATATACCGAGTCCTTTGAAAGTCTGACTTCCGTCTGTACTTCCCAAGAATCTCAGTCACTGGCTGGGCACACAGTGATTGCAACCAAAATGTGTTAGTTTGTTCAGCTTCGTGTTTCTGAACATGTTTATCTACGAAGTAATACTCAACGTTCTTTCTGATTGGATTCTGGACGTCACGTGTTCTGTTCCTGCTGACTGACGGTGGGGAGAAGCCAATCACGGACTTCCTGTCATGTAGTTCCGGTGCAATAGTGTTTGTGATTGGATCATAATCGTCCAATGGTCGTTTGCTGTTGGTGGCGGGAGTGGAGACAGGGCATCGGTAAAAGTCGGGATGGCCAGAGTCATATTTGTACACGCCACCATCCTCCCGTCGCGTGTTCTCCCCAGAGGTCAGCATCATGTTGAATCTGCAAAGACGAGAGAGGGAGTTACAGTAGAGGTAGTGGTGAGTGAATATGGGCTTAAGCCGCCTCTTGCAAAATCACAAAACACAAGACATGAGCTTCACACGTTAAGGAATCGAACCCATGTCTTAGGTGCAACGATCAAGGGCTTTAATCACTAGGCTACCCACCATAGCAACGGTAGTAACAATACTGTAATAGGCTGTATGTCATCTAACCTGTGTACGCATAGGACCGGGTTCGATTCCCCACATGGGTATAATATGTGAAGCCCATTCTTGGTGTCCCCCGTCGTGATATTACTGGAATATTGCTAAAAGGGACGTAAACCCCAACTCATTCACTCACTCACGTTAAATACTAGAGCTTCTGCCAGGCTCCACATTGAACCTGTCAGGCGTGTTTGCATAACTCCATAACACGTTGAATGTGGAATGATCGTGTTTGTTTTAGTTCTTATATAATTATACAAATTGTTTCCCAATAACATCACTAAAGAATGGAGTATCCCATTCTATTTTAAATAGTAGGGTTTACAATGTTTCATTAACTGCTTCTTGTTTCAAGAATTATGCAAATGGTTTTGTCCCTTTATTTATCAAATAATTTCAGCATACGTTGTACTGGACTGTACAAATATTCCATGGATACATTGTATACTGACCATGGCACGGGTAACGTTGCATATTTTGGACATGTTATAGACATTTTATATGTTTCTATCAAGATGAAACATATTGGAAAACAATTAAATTGTAATATGCACTAATGGTTCTCCGCAAAGTTTACCTGAATAGGTTGTGGCTGAGATTTAACGAATCTTTGAACATTCTACGAGTTATTTCACGGTGTGCAGGTCCTACGTGTTTACCACCAAGGAAAACAAAACTACGAACACGGGTTTGGTGCTGGCAAACCTGGAAACCGGGATGCGAACCCCTTTTCATTGGAATCCCTCCCGGCATTATTAAGCGATAATTGTAGAATTTGTCGGGAGAATGTGAGACAACGTCTGCTCTAGTATAATTAATTAGCATACCGGAAGCCCCAATGGAATCATTATCATCTATACGTCCTAACCGTGTTACTGAGGCAGCACACTTAAACATTCTGATAAACGCAAAAGTTAGATTTGAAATAATATACAACAGTCCACTGAAATTTACATATATCTACAATACTTGTTTGGAATATGATCACTGCTCAACCACAGCAGATCGCTGAATCGTTTATATTTTAGATTGGTAGATCTGTTGAACGTCACTGTCACGTGCATAAACTGCCGTGTCTGATTAACCTCAACGATGATCTCCAAATCACACGGTATTTCTTTTGAACTTGATAATATTCCTGATAATTCTGCTATATGACAAGAAAACAGCCACGGCCCAGTTCTCTTTTGTCTGTCAAACCCATGCATGCTACCGCTCAGGCTGGCCACAAAGGTAAGCCATGCCTCATATTGTTGCACAGATCCTAGATTATAACCTTACAATGGACTCGTTACATTTATGTTACATGATCTTACAAGTCAAACAACCGTTTCATAGCTCAGGCTATCATATTGTGTACATCTAGCCGACACAGGTCAGGTAGCAACCCCGTTTGGAGACTTAGTATGGCACGCTTACCTGTTGATACCAAAAACTTTCATTTTTAGTAATTGTCGAAAATGTGTTGCATCCCCGCCTATCAATTATTATCACGAATGAAGCTAGATATATGTAATATATACAGAACCAATCTTGTCGTGTTACAGTGTCCGTAACTAGGTGAAATACGTTACTGTTTATAATGTTAAATACTGGCAAACAAATTATAATTGACGACTTAAAGGAAGTATTTACATGTTAAACACATTTAGAGGTTTCAAATACTGCTGTGTCATTATATATTAACAGCAAATATAACACATAGTTCAAAGAATAATTATTACTTAACACACTCGTAACATATCTAAATATGTTTTCATATCCCGTAATGCATTTTAATAAACATAAAATAATTATATAAATAGACTCAACGTGCCGTCAGATATGTACATACTGTCGTTGAGTTGGGGCTTACGTTCATAACACACGTTCCACATACACCGTCTCCACCCAGCCCTCTCGCCTCCCCACCCCCGCGATCCATGGTAATCCTACCTGCTTTTGCCATGGAAGGTGCATCTACCAACATCCCATGCCATTATAGTACCCTCTTGAACACCGGTGGCGGAAGCGTGGTGTGAGACAGGGTGACAGAATACCCCCTGCTCTCTTATCAAGGTCTCACGCTTAAACTCCAACACAGTCAGGACCTAGGTTACAGTGGGGTTAGCGTGCATGTCAGTATGAAGAATCATATCTTAACGGTTTTAGTCTGATGGAAAAATCTATGGCAGAGTTCGACCTTGTTTCAATCAATATTCATTATTCATTTAATGAAATGTATTTATTTGTTTGGTTGACATTTATTTAGACAGTTAGTTTAAGATAATATTAAATAATTATTTTACATTGATCAATTTATAAATGTTTTGTAAAAAGTGTGGCATTAAGAGCAAAGTTTTACTAAGTAGGAAACGTTTTTTATTTGAATGGCATATACACTGCAGTTTGTAAGTAATGTATTATATTGCAGTACGGACGACGAGTTAGCCAAATGTTTGAAGCGTTTGCTAGTCACGCCTAAGGTCCGAGTCCGACTCCCCTCAAGGATACAGTATGTAAAACCCATTCCTGGTGCATCCAGCCTTGCAATTCCCAGTATACTGTTAAACGCATCGTAAAACGAAAGATAAACACACACTGTTGTGAGAATTTTGAAATCTTGATAGTACAACTCGCATGTCAGAGAAGTGCACCGTATCAATTGAGGTTTGAAGACAATTCGTCCAAAGCGCTCGTCAGTCACCCGGGGGACCACTTAGTCACCCTCTATGTTGGGCAGCAGGGTACATCTACATCCCCGCCCCTGTAAGGGGTTCAAGTATTGATTTAAGGATGAGAATGTTTAACGCCATGGACATTTTTACACGTATGTTAACGTTGAAACCTTCTGGGTAAGAAGATCTAAAAAAATTACCTCATTCTGATTAGTTTGTTGTTTAACGCCTCACTCAGTAAGGTTCCAGTTTTATGACAGCGGTATGTAAAATGTCTGGACTAGACAATCCAATGATTGATATAATGAACATCGATCTAACCAACTGAAATGGCATGGTTCAACCAAGTCAGCGAGCCTGACCACCCGACCCCGTCAGTCGCCTCTTACGACAAGCATGGGTTGCTGAAGACCAAGTCTAACCCAAATCTTCACGGGTAAGACTTAGGGATAGACGATACCTGTCAAACATGACGAGGCTGTCTACTGCAGACATGGCGAATGCTGTCTACTGTACCTGTCAGCGAGACGCGTTGTTTCGTTATAGTAAACGTTAACACCATTGCAATGCCAACAAACAAGTGCAGTCAGCACTGTATGATCCGGTTATGTATTTATTAATATTATAAGCATGTTTATGCCAAAGAATAACTCTGCATGGGATATGCCTGCTTATCTACCAGATAATCCATTCTGAGGATATCTTAACCTCCCCACGGAGCGCCGTCGGAAATCGATAATACACAAAAGGATTAACGTCTTAATCAAATATCTCATAAGGAATGTCAAAATGTGAATATGAACGTCTGACTTCATATCAATAATATCTCACTATCAAATTTAATATTAAATATTTATTTGGGTCGTCAAAACAATCATGCCACAACGCTACGCTGCCATTTATTATTCTATATCCAGAGCAGTATAGACTCTTCTGTCGTATATGTACCTATGTGCACCTGGCCAATTAAAATCTGTATTTATTCAATCCATTAATCGCTAATGTTAATGCACGTCACTGCTATATGAACACACCGCACCATATATTGGAACTATCGATAAATAACATACCTTACTTGAGTGATATCCTCATTATTACTCACCTGTAATTTACCGTGTGTACTTGACCAGGTAAGTTTTCAACATGTAGGTGAATCTACCTGGCAGGTAACCTGTTTTATCTCCCCATCTACAGGTACGCCGATCTACCCAGCCCGCGTAGGTAGCTCGAACGCTTAGAGGGTAGACACCGCTCCTGGGACCCTTCCTCGCGAAATGTTTGAATGGCTGTAGGTAAAGTTACAGCGAGAAGCAGGGTCGTTACTGTTTACTGATCATTTATTGTGGCGTGAGGGATTTATTTACATTGTGTCGGGTTAGTGACATTGTTAACGCGCAGGTAAATACCTCGAGGTGTTACATAAAGACTAATTGTAAATTTATTATGTCACGGGGATTTGTCTTCTTATATAAATGTATATGTAAAAGAAGGTGACTTGTTGACAATAGGCAGGGGAGATAACCGTGAAGGAGAGGAAAGCTCCCGGGAGCCCAGGCAAGCCTGATCTCCTTGTAAATGTCAAACGTAATGTCCAATAAATTATATCCTTGGAATTCAAAAGACTGTATTTTGGACATGTCGAACTCAACTTCATATACTGACACACCGCCTCCGTGGTGTAGTGGTTAGAGCGTCCGCCCGGAGGCGGAAGGTCGCGGGTTCGATCCCCAACCGCGTCATACGTTAAAATATGGTACTTGTTGGTCCCTGCCTGGCGCTCGGCATTAATGGGTACAACAAGAACTGGTCGGCTCGGAGTCAGTATAATGTGTCTGAGTGGGGTATTCATGCTTCACTGCGGCATGGTATCTCAGTGGGCTAGCACTATAAAACCAGCTGAAGTCTGGGCTAGTACCAGCAGCCGCACATACACATACACACGCATGCACGTCGTCATATGAGCGAAATATTCTCCAGCGCGACGTGAAACCCAATTTCACCTCACCTCACCTCATATACTGACATATAAAAGAAAGTAGGCACCTTGCTGCTTTGGGGTCATTTTAAAAAACAACAACCACCGTTGTAAATGTTTTGAAAGTGTTTTGGTTGAGACTCTCACATTTTTGTTGCCCAAACACCACAAATATCTACTCAGTTGCGACGTTGCCAGCGCCTCACATCCGAGCCCAACGTAGACGATTCAGTCAATGTTGAGGGGTAACTAACGTGCCCCGAGATGGTCCATAGCTACGGGGACCGACATACGCAGTTGTTTCATCACTGCGATCCTGCTGATGCGGTGACCCAACGCTGTTGATGCTGATGGCGTCACTGTGAGCTTCCGATTACACGGATAGAAAATACACCGGGGATAGTAATCTTCTCGAGTTTCCAGTTCCGGGACCGCCAGAGGTCCGGCCAGTCTGGTTGACAATGACACGTCTCATAGTCTGTCACAATTGTACAATAAACTCTGGTTTTGGCAGAGATTTCTTTGAATGTAGAAAGGGTTTTGTCGCTTCTATTCTGGTATGCCTTGCCTAGACGACCGTCCTGGCAATATGGTTGTTGTTAGAATCGACATTCCAATGGCTCGTTCTTGCTCCGCTGCTGATAATCTTGACATTTTGATGTGTGCCTATAACAGGTATATCATTATCAATCCCGACTGACTTAGCTTTATACTGATGGCGTATAACGTGCACGTGCAATTCAACAAAATCATTATTTTCATGAACCTGTGCTCATTACATTGTAAGGGTGGTGGGGTAGCCTAGTGGTTAAAGCGTTCGCTCGTCACGAACACCAGGGTTCAATTCCCACATGGGTACAATGTGTGAAGCCCATTTCTGGTGTCCCCGCCGCGATATTGCTGGAATTTTGCTAAAAGCGTCGTGAAACCAAATTCACTCACTCTAAACACTATAAAGGACACCTGTGGTGTTTTGTTACTATATACAAAATGTTTGAGACTTTAAGTAATAATCAATATACTTTTCATAACATTTACGTCGTTGTTTTGAAAAAAATCACAAAATAGGTGTGTACTTTCTTTTGTAAGTGAATATTTAATAGGTTAAAAGACGTAACGAGGGGACAATACGGAATGTTTTTGAAATTCGAGCTTCACATTGTGTTACATCTATTGGTGATGGTGCTTACACAAACATGAGCTTGTTATTCTATAGTGATGTATTTGATATGGGAATTATAGGCGATATTTAGACCGCAGTTTCACATTACACTGTAATAAGAAGAAAAGAGTGGAAATTATCAAGTGTATACTTTCATTTGTCCGGCAGTGTATTCCAAAGTAATACTCTTACTTACGTGCGACGTTTTATTATATTCATCACGTGGTTTAATTATATTTATCACGCGGTTTATATGATATTGTTCAGTAGGCATGGCCATGCATATGTTAAGATGTTTAAGTTTATGGCATATGTAGATATTCCTTACTGATAGGCGCAAGCCCGAGTTACACTGACGGACAGAAAAAGTATACACTTGATCATTAGATTTAACAAAAGCATCACAAGTGTTAACAAAACGTTACGACAACCTCCATAAAAGCAAACAAATATTCACGTCAGTTCTTATATATAAAAGGTATTTTGTTTACATATGTCCTTGTACACATATCTTTACTTGCTAACGGATTATGTTTAAACAAGTTAGTATGTACTGCAAATGAAAATAAAACTAAGTAAATTTACTCACCTGAAATATATTGTGTACGTCCAACCGTGACGTCAGTTTCTACACAAACAAATCACGTCTGGGGAGACAACTCTGGACTCCTCACGCAGATACCGCTAATGGGTTTATATTACATATGTATTCCAAGCAATAGGAGGGTGATATCCGATATCAAGTAAATATTTTTATCCCGAAATAAATCCCCCAAGAACGCCTCGCTTGTCTACACAAAAGACTAGTCCTCATTTGAGCTTTAATAGACATGGTTGCCTGTCTCCGTTTGACATAAACCGACAAAGGTTATTTCATAAGGAGATTGTGTGACAGTTCAGTAGACAAGTTGGTAGCGTCCCGCGAACAGGCTCTGAGATCCAGTCGATTGTTGTTTTTAAATACAGTATTGTGACCTGTCGGTTTAACGAGGGGCGTTATCAGACATTATGTCTCAAATCGTAGTGATTTGCCTGAAAAATGTAGCTGATACTGTTCACCTTCGTTAAACCGTCTGTATTTCTGTTTGTCATTATTTCACGCCGCTTTGAGCAATATTTCAGCTATTTGACCACGGTCTGTAGGTAATCGAGAATAGTGAGTGAGTGAGTTTAGTTTTACGCCGCACTCAGCAATATTCCAGCTATATGGCGGCGGTCTGTAAATAATCGTGTCTGGACCAGACAATCCTGTGATCAACAGCAAGAACATCCACCTGCGCAATTGGGAACCGATGACATGTGTCAACTAAGCCAGCGAGCCTGACCACCCGATCCCGTTAGTCGCCTCTTACGACAAGCATGGGTTACTGAAGGTTCATTCTAACCCGGACCTTCACGGGTTAATCGAGAATAGACCAGACAACCCCGTGATTTACATATTTAACATCGGTTTGAGTAAGTTTGGATAGGACGACATGAATGGGTTACTGAAGGTTCATTCTAACCCGGACCTTCACGGGTTAACCAAGTCTGACCACCCGATCACATAGTCGCCTCTGACGATATCGGTTGTTGAAGAACATTTCTCACCCAGTTGTAAGTCAGCATATATAAACGAACATTATTACGAGTGAGTGAGTGAGTTAAGTTTTACGCCGCACTCAGCAATATTCCAGCTATATGGCGGCGGTCTGTAAATAATTGAGTCTGGACCAGACAATCCAGTGATCAACAGCATGAGCAATTGGTCTGCGCAATTGGGAACCGATGACATGTGTCAACCAAGTCAGCGAGCCTGACCAACCGATCCCGTTAGTCGCCTCTTACGACAAGCATAGTCGCCTTTTGTGGCAAGCATGGGTTGCTGAAGATCTATTCTACCCCGGATCTTCACGGGTCCATTATTACGAAAGTACGCCATGAGTATTTGTTCATTATGTAATCGGGTCGATGTCATTTGGAACAACAATGAAATGTCAGTACAGCCCAGTATTTTCACAAACCAAGTATGCATTTAATCAGTTCCTTGTCTGGAAGTTGTATGAACACTTACCCAGCCTACAGCTGATTATTGAACCCGTTAAGATCCGGTTAAGAATTGATCATCAGCAACCCATGCGACTAACAGATCGGGTGGACAGGCACGCTGACTTGGTTGAGACATGTTATCGTGTCCCAATTTGGTAGATCGATGTTCATACTGTTGATCACTGGATTGTCTGGTCCAGACTCGATTATTTACAGACCGCCGCCATATTGCTGGAATATTGCTGAATGCAGCGTTAAACAACAAACAAACCGATTGCTTAAAGATATCGGGAGGTCGGGTTATCCAAAGTGCCGCAATTCGTTGTACAGAGTTGGGCTCGCCAGACACATGTGATTGAAGATGTAATCATGAATCCAAGGTCGAGCAGATTAGGCTTGTCAGCACCAAATCAAATCACATCTTGACTGGTATCACTTCAGGATTCCTCCGAGTATCTGGGGCGGTGGGTAGCCTAGTGCTTAAAGCGTTGGCTCGTCAGGCCGAGGATCCGGGTTCGATTCCCCACATGGGCACAATGTGTTAAGCCCATTTCTGGTGTCCCCCGCCGTGATATTGCTGGAATATTGCTAAAAGCGGCGTAAAACTAAACTCAGTCAGTCAGTCCTCCGAGTATCTAAACCCCGCGATGAACTGGAAAGACGTTCCTGATATAAGTAAGGGCGTTAAATCCAACTCACTCACTCACTCAATTTGCACGATATTGTATATATTGTATGTCAGCCAGCACGTGGCTTCCATGCGCACACTGTTTACATCTATCGAGTCTATCCATCGAGTGTCCTAACAAGCTTGTAATCTTTTACCTGCGTCTTGTCTTAAAGAGTACTGCATCCTTTCATTCCTGGTAATGAATGGCATCACGTGTATCTTGAAACAGGAAAGTGATTGATCACGTAAAATATTTATATCTTGTTTAGATTAAGTGTGAAAGATCAAAAGAGAAGGAGACGTGCAAGCCGGACTTTACAGATCAACAGGATCGTGAGTCGCTTCCTGTTAGGAGCCTGTCTATCTAAAACATGAAATTTAAA